CTTCTCCTCCTCACATTGGCCATCCTCTCGGCCAGATACGAGGGCACCTCATGATCAGAGTCGGTTACCTTCTGGCAGAGCTGCAAGAGAAAACAGACAGGAACTAGCTTAATTGTACTGGGACATCTTTCCCAAACACACCTCTCCTCTTGGAGAAGAGAACAGGTATGTACACGGTCACAGGCAAGCACAAATTTCTAAATGACTGTAGAATTCCTTCACTGTTCTGGTGGCAAAGTACAGCTCACTCCACCCTGCGAGCTACCTACAGAGTAGTGCTACAAAGCTGAGTCCCTCTGAGCTGTCCCAACCATCACTCTGAAACAGGGACATCCCACTCCAAGTCTGGGGCACCAGGTGAAGCTGCTTTGCAGCAGTGCTTTCTCCTGCACTCAGGGTATCTGTCTGGCTTCTGCAGGGCCAAGAACCAACAAATGTTCCCTCTGCAGTAGGCCTGGAAGTTTTGACGGACACAGAGTAACTAGGAGCTGGTACCTCCTCTAGGTTGGTGAATCGGTCATGGTCGGTGTAGGTGAAGATGCGATGGTTCTTCCGACCTCCAGCCTTCTCCAGTTTCCGGATCTCCTCATGGTACTGCCGGTCCAGGGGAGTCTGGCAGGCTGACTCATTCAGGTACAGATCCACCTCAAACTGACAGCACCACAGGTAAAGCACAACAGCCGCCTTTCACCAGCATTGGCAGAGCCACAAACACCTTTCAGCTGCGGTTTCCAAAGCCACCAGAGAGACAAGACTCCTTGGGAATCCCATCAAATAACCCGAGCTCTGGAGCAGCTCCAACACTGCTCAGGCACGTGGCAGCCAAGAGCACCCACCAATGCCCGCCTGGAAGGGCTCAGGCACAGCAGCTCACCCTGAAACAGGGGACCCCACACGGAGGTGCAGAAAGGGTGTCGGGAAATTCATCCCAGCCTGCTCAGTTCTGGGCTCCTCGCTACAGGAGAGACATGGAGCTCCTGGAGGGGGTCCAGCAGAGGCTGTGAGGACTATGAGGGGACTGAACATCTTCCTTATGAGGAAAGGCAGAGGGAGCTGGGGCTGTTCAGCCTTGAGAAGAGATGGCTGAGAGGGGACCTCATCAATGTCTATCAGTGTCTGCAAGGAGGTGTCAGAGGTTGGATCGGGCTCTGCTCGGGAATGCCCAGCAACGGGACAAGAAACAACGGGCAGAAACTGATGCCCAGGAAGTTTCACCCGAACATGAGGAAGAACTTCCCTGCGCAGTGACCGAGCACCGAACAGGCTGCCCAGGAGGGTGTGGAGTCTCCTCACTGGGGATATTCCAAAGCCGACTGCACACATTTCTGAGCACCATGCTCAGGGGACCCTGCCTGTGCAGGGGGGTCGGACTGGATGACCTCAGTGATCCCCTCCCACCTGACCCATTCCGTGAAGCCCCTCCCGCCCCCTCCGCGCACCCACCTGGCTGAAGAGCTTCTCCTGCCACCCCACCTCGGCCTCCTCCTCCTCGTCCTCCGGGGCCCGCTGGGCGCCCGCGGCAGAGGCCCGGATCACCGCCAGCGGCACCGCTCCCTCCCCGGCGGCGCTGCCGGCCCGGCCCGGGCGCTCGGGGCCGGTGAGCGGCGGCGGCGCCTGCGGCAGGACGGGCCCGGCGGGCGCGACCCGCTGGATGCGGACCCTGCGGGGAGGGAGCGGAGCGTCAGGGCTGTGCGGGCCGCCGGGGCCGGGCCGGGCCGGGGCCGGGGGCAGACGGGCGCTCACCGCAGGCGCAGGTTGCGGACGGGGTCCCGGGAGCGGTACACGGCGGGGTCCCGGGAGCGGCACACGGCGGGGTCCCGGGAGCGGCACACGGAACCTCCCCCGCCCGGGCCCCGCACGGCGCCCGCCATGGCCGAGCTCTGCGGAGACGGGCGGGCATGGGCGGGCAGCGCCCCCCCGCGGCCGGAGCCGCCCGTACAGCCGGGCCCGCTCTGCGTGAGGGGGATCAGCAAATCCCTCTGTGTGAGGGGGGATCCCCCACATCCCTCCGTGTGAGGGGGTCTCCACATCCCTCCGTGTGAGGGGATCCCTACATCCCTCCGTGTGAGGGGATCCCTACATCCCTCCGTGTGAGGGGGGATCCCACACATCCTTCTGTGTGAGAGGAGTCCCCACATTCCTCCGTGTGAGGGGGGATCCCCCACATCCTTCTGTGTGAGGGGTGTCCCCACATCCCTCCGTGTCATGGGGGGAGTCCCCACATCCCTCCGTGTGAGGGTGGATCCCCCACATCCTTCTGTGTGAGAGGAGTCCCCACATCCCTCCGTGTGAGGGGATCCCACACATCCCTCCATGTGAGGGTCCCCATGGCACCTGAGGGAGTCCCCACATCCCTCCATGTGATGGGGGATCCCCCACATCCTTCTGTGTGAGAGGAGTCCCCACATCCCTCCGTGTGAGGGGATCCCACACATCCCTCCATGTGAGGGTCCCCATGGCACCTGAGGGAGTCCCCACATCCCTCCATGTGATGGGGGATCCCCCACATCCTTCTGTGTGAGGGGTGTCCCCACATCCCTCCGTGTGATGGGGGGATCCCCCACATCCCTCCGTGTGAGGGTCCCCACGGCACCTGGGGGAGTCCCCACATCCCACCGTGTGATGGAGGGTCCCCTACATCCCTCCATGTGAGGATCCCCATGGCCCCCGTAGGGTCCCCATGGCCTCCACGGGGGGGTGTCTCCCACATCCCTCCGTATGAGGGTCCCACAGCCTCTCTGTGAGGGATCCCCCACATCTCCCCACAATAGGCCCCAGGACAAAGTCCCCTATCCTGACAGCCCCACGGCACTGGTGAGGGGATGTGCTGCAGGGCCCCCACCACTCTGTAGATGGACCTGTGTTCCAAACCTGTGTGTGAAGAGCTGCCTAAACCCTACCCCCTTCCTAATCCATCCATGAGTGCCAGGGAAAGGGCATCTTCATGGAGACCACCAGCACCCTCACACTGTTGCCAATTTTACGAGCTCTCTAAACACAGACATAGAATCTTGCTTATAAAGGAAACGTTTATTCTGCGCAGGGTGCAAGGTGGAGGTTTGTCTTAGACCAGTTCATCACTAGGTGGGTGTAACCCAACCTGTGTATTCTACACCCTCCACGTCATTTCCCAGAAACAGTTAACAATAGACCATTTGCAGCAGCCGCCCAGAGCACACCCGACCCCTCAGGCTATAAGCCGGGTGTTAAGACGCCGGTGAGAGGAGGATGTCCCTGTTCTCACACCTGTGACTCACAATCGCCCATTGGGAACTCCCTGGCGTGGGGGAGGTACTGGGCATTCCTGCCTGAACCTGAGGGTATATAATCTTGGGGTCTTGGGACTTCTGGTACCACTTGACCTCCAGAGGAGGACCAGAACCTCAACCGGACTGTGACCACCGCTCTCAACCAGACTGAGACCACTACTCTCAACAGGACTTCGACCATCACTCCCACCAATAGGTTTTTTCCTCTACTTTTACTTTTGGACTCAGGGGACCACGTGGGGCTCAGCACAGGAGCCAACGAACACCATGCCCCAGGGTGCCGGGTTATACATCTGGGGTTTTGTGGGCTAAAACCAATTGTTCATCTGTATAATTGTATTATTTTTATTAAATTGTTATTCTTATAATCTCTTTTGAGTTGGGTTCATTTCCCCTGCCGGTTTACCTTTTAACCAGCACAAGGTTTCCACAAATCAAGCACACCAAGGTGTAAAAAGTTATATCTTTTATATAGAAAAATTCACATGAACTTGCCTATCTAATACATGTGCTCCACCTACCTAATGCACGTTTATTTGGGTGAGGAAGATTGTTTCTCATCCACGCTGACATTTCACAAGATCAGACAGATCTCAATCTTCTGCTCTGCACAGTGTCCAGAGCCAACACTAGACACCAAATGCTGTTATGCAAGGAATATGATATCACAATCAGAAACTGTAGTGGATCCCCAAGATTTCCTCATTCTAACAAGACTCTTGAAGGGTTCAAGTCCACCAGCAGTTACAGGAGAGTGTATTGTTGACAGCCTGATTCTTACTGCCATGTCAAATGTGACATCAGTAGTGTGGCTCTTCAAACTCTGTCAAAACCCTGTTGAGAATCTACCACTTAACTAAGTCTTTTCTTTCTATCTCAGCTGCCAACTGTTGCCACAGCTTTGCCAATATCTGTCTGTAACATGGTGTCTATAATTGCTTACTCTGATATTAGATAAAGCTGGATAAACAGTAACATGATAATGTTATATTTCTCCAGGGAAAAAAAAAAAAAGTATTTGACTGAGACATTTGTACAAAATTCTCGGTTTTCAGCCTGTCTGTAATAAAAGGCTTTTTCTGACTCTGAGATCTCTCGTATTTATGTGGCCAGCGTTCCAGATCAGAAAATGGGAGGGCCTTGCAAGGGCCAGTGTTCCTGGACTAATAGACATTTCCAATTAATTGGAAAGGAGTTTCAGGTGCAGGGGAAATGTGGGGGACCCCTCTGTCACAGAGGCTGGGAGATGGAATATAGGGGACCCCCCTCAGGTGGAGGTCTGGGGAGTCTGAGATGCAGAAGCCGCCGGTGCCGAATGACCCCAAAGCCGGGCCGGCGGCTGGCCCAGGGTGGGAGCCCCCGGGAAGCGCTCCCGGCCCGGGGCTCTGCTCCCCCCAAACCCCGCTGCCCCCCAGCCCCGCTCTCCCCCCGCCGCCACTGCATGTCCCGCCGAGTCTGTGATCCAGCCTGGCGAAGCCGAAGGCGCGGCCGCGCGTGGAAGTGGAAAGTTATTTTAGCACTGAATAGAATATTTTTAAAATCATACTATCTGAAATACAGATGCAGAGAACGCTGTAGCGGGGCGTGAACGGGAAGCGAAGGGGCGGGAGGGGGACAGGCGGGAAGTTCGTTCCTGTAAGGTTGCGTCAGGCGGGACCGCGCTGGGAATTCCTCGTCCGAAGCCGCCGCGGAGCCCCGATAGCGCCGGGACTCACCGCCCCCGCGCCCACGGAGCCGGACCAGAGCCCCCGTCCCCCGGGAAGGTCTGTCAGTGCCCGCTCCGGGCCCCCCGCCTCCCCTCCCCGCCCGCCCGGTGACCCCCCGGCCAGTGCCCGGCGCTGTCCGGAGCGGTCGGAGCTGAACTCAGAGCCCCGAGCTCAGAGCCCCGAGCCCGAGCCGAGCCGGCGGAGCCGCCTCCGGGGCCGGTGTCGGAAGCGGGACCGACCCGGGGCGGCCCCTCCGCCGCTCACGGGGGGCCGGGAGGAATCGGGCGCGGTGAGCGGGGATGCGCCTTCCTTGGGCGAGGCTTCAGAGCAGCGGCTGCAGCCCGGGCGACCAGAGAGCCCCAGCAACTCCTGCCCTAACCTGCCGCTCCCGCTGCCTTTGCACCAGCGCCCTCGCACCTGCCTGTGCCTTGCAAACAGTGACTTTCATTTCCCACTGTTTCCAATGTTTCCTTTTTTCCTGGGTTTTCTTGGTCCTACTACCGTGTGTCTGCTCTTCTTTGGCACTTCTTTGGGTGTGCAGACAAGAGCAGCAAAGCTGGGGAAGCATCTGGAGCACCAGTCTGGTGAGGAGCAGCTGAGGGAGGTGGGGGGGCTCAACTGGAGAAAAGGAGGCTCAAGGGGGACTTGCTTGCTCCCTGAAAGTCTCTGACAGGGGAGTGGAACAATGTGGGGGTCCAGCTCTTCTCCCAGAGAACAAGGGACAGAACCAGAGGAAACAGCCTCAAGTTGCACCAGGGAAGATTCTGGCTGGATATTAGGGAGAAAGGATTATCCAGCCCTGGCCCAGGCTACCCAGGGCAGTGGTGGAGTCCCCATCCCTGGAGGGATTTAACAAACATGTAGATGTGGCACTTGGGGACATGGGTTAGTGGTGGCCTTGGCAGTGCTGGGGGAACAGTTCATGATCTCAGAGGGCTTTCCCAACCCAAATGACTCTGTGATAATCATGAAGTGTTTTTGATAACGTATCCCTCCAGGATCAGGATGGCCAACCAGGACAAGCATCTGCTGATCAACTTGAACAGGAACACGAACTATGCCGATGTGGTGGTAGATATTGGGAAAATACTTGTTGGAGAGAGTTACAGAAAGAAGATGACCTCTTTGAATCAGAAAAGGAAAAAAAGGGACCTTTCCATAGCAGTGTGTGCATTGCTGAATTCAGGAGGAGGAATAGTGAGGATGGAGAGTGAGGACAGGAATTACTGCTTCCAGGAGCATGGCATTGGTCTGGACATTGAGAACAGCCTCCGGGATTGCATTGGCAGCAAGGAGATCGGCGAATACTTCACATGGATGCAGGAGGGGAATAACTTGCTGCTCTTTGTTAAAACATGGAGCTGTGGAGGCCTGGAACAAGGAAGTGCAGAAGCCACCAAGTCGCGTCTCTGCAGCCTGAGCACTGGTTTGTTTTGTAGGTCTGGTACTTCCGTTTTCCCTGTCAATTCAAGAGATGCCCCTGAATTCCTGAGGGGGAAGAAAAGCTCTGCCAAGGGCAACAGTGTGAATGGGCAGAGTGCCAAGAGAACTCTGCTGAGTTTTTTTGATGGAGCAAATGAGACTTCTCTGAACATTCAGGAGCACGACATCCAAGATGCTGCAGCCAGGTTTCTAAAGAGAGACAAAGTGCTGGTTGGGGAGGTCCTGGGTTTCACAGAGACAACTCATATTGAATTTAAGCAATACAGTACAGAGAATGTCTTGGAATACATGAGCAAAAACCTTCCTAAATATGTCTCTGCCTTTGCAAACACTGAGGGTGGATATTTATTTTTTGGTGTGGATGACAATGGTAAAGTCATCGGAACCCACAGTAATGTGGAGAAAGAAGCCTTAGAACAAGCAGTGGCCGAGACCATCAGCTCGATGTCTGTCCATCACTCCTGTGGCTCTGAGGCTCTGGGAGTGCAGTTCCAGACACACATCCTGGATGTTTATGACCAAGCAGGATGTGCACAGGGCTACATCTGTGCTGTGCACGTTGAACAGTCCTGCTGCCCTGTGTTCCATGGTGACCCCGAATCCTGGATGGTGATGGGTGGCAAGATTGAAAGACTCAGAGCTGGGAAATGGATGGAGCTCATGACAGCTTCAGACCCAGGTAAAATCTGCACCTATGTTAGAGCCAACTTCATTTCTGCCTTGGGCTGTAAACGTCCAGGAGGAACGTTTGTTCTGCTGGGAGTTCTCACAAACTCAGAAAAGGCCCTTTGGCCCAAGGCCCAGCCCCAGGCCCCGAGGTGACAGTGTGGTCACTGTCCTGCAGTTGCACCCCACTCTCTGAACTGGTTCAGCAGCACTTCTTGAAGCCCTCCCAATTGGCATAAACCTTCCTTCCTAGGGATCCCACATGCCCCTAAACCAAGTGGGAAGATTCAAGATCGCCCAGAAGCAGCTCTGTGGTGGTTAAGGGCTGTTTTGAAGGAGCAGGGCTGCAAGGCTTTGCTTGTTTTAAGGAACTTTGCCCAACTTCATTGTGAAATGTCTTCCCATGAAAGCTGGGGTCTCCAACTCATCCCACGTAGGGTCTAGATCTTGTCTTTGAACTATAAAGCCACCTTTTAGAGAGAGCCCTCTCTCTTCTACAGCAAATACAGATCACAGAATCCTGGAATGGGTTGGGTTGGAAGGGCCTGAAAGATCATCTCATACCAATCCCCTGCCATGGGCAGGGACACTTCCCCTAGATCAGGTTGCACCAAGCCTGGTCCAACCCAGCCTTGAACAATTCCAGGGGTGGGGCAGCCACAGCTTTGCTGGGCAAGCACTGGAGTCCTGTCATTGTTAACTGTGTAGGCAGCATTTTCTTGGGTAGGATTGCAAAGGGAGGATTTAAATTAACCCTTTTAGTTACTCTTTAGTGCAGTGTTTTAAAAGTTCACATGGAAGAATACTGATGGATATAACATACATTTTTTCCCCCTAGTTGTGTCAGCTTTGGCTGATGAATTTAAGACAGAGCTCAGCTTGGCAAATGGCCCTCCTCTGGTCAAGCCAGTTTATTCCAAAGCTGGTCTACAGTGTGCAGCTGAACTCCAAGAACATCTCTACCCAGGTATGGTTTTTGTTCTGGATTTCTTTTTTAATTTAAGCTTTTATTTGACAGGGTGATTTTAAAAGGTGCAGCGGCTCCAAATATTGATTTCCTTGATTTTTCAGATGCTTTGCTGTCTTCTCCTTTTTTTGCCACTAAGTACAATCTCTAATGCACACAGTTATGGAGAATACACCTGGACTCCGAGGGCTTTGTGCACTGTCTGACCACTGTTACACTCAAAATCTTCTTGGAGGAAAAAGAGAGACAGAACAATTTATTTTGGGCATAACTGAAATCTAGTTAATGATTCACTTTGATGACCTCATGGTGTAACATCTCCCCCTAGTAACTGCTGTCTGGAGTAAATGATTTGCTGTGTTTTGCTTTTTTAATTTTTGATTACTTTTTTTTTCTAGTGGGTTCTAATGAAATCAAATGGAAGCCAGAAACCATCTGCACCGACCTGTTCTCAGAGTACCCTGGATTAGAGGATTTAATGAGAAAACAACTCCGTGGAATTACCCAGGGGTTACTGATATTTTCAAGGAGTTGGGCTGTTGACATTGGCTTGCAGAAAAACCAGGATGTTGTGTGTGATGCTCTCTTAGTAGCTGACAGTGAGTATCCAGTGTTGTTTACTGTGGTCAGGGACGCCTCGTGTGTCACATCTGGAACCTGGAGAGAAACTGCTCGTGCCTTGAAGCAAAAGCTAGTCAATGATGGGGGATATACTCCAAGAGTGTGTGTGATTCCCCAGATCCTGCTGCTGAATGGCACAGAGGACCAGACAGCAGTTAAAGAGAATGAGGTTCCCCGTCAAGAAACCCTGCATGATTCCACCAGCCCTTACCCAAAGAGTTACATCCTCACCTCCAGGGACATCCCTGCCTTCCTGCGGGCACTTGTGATTGTTGTGCTGGGCTTTAAGTCCTACTTATGTGACCATCTTGGCTGTGAGATTTTCAGCCTTCTCACTCTCAAACAGTATGAGCTGCTCTCCAAGAACCTGCACAAAGTCAGGAAGCTGTTTGTCCTTGGTCTTCCTGGGACAGGAAAAACAGTCGTGGCTTTGAAGATCATTGAGAAAATAAAAAACACTTTTCACTGTTGTGCGGACGAGATACTTTATATTTGTGAAAATCAACCCTTGAGGGATTTTGTGAGGTAAGTAGTAATGTGTATTTCCTCTTTATATTATCTCATTCCATCTTCTGTGCCTACAGCACAAGCCCTGCTGAATTTAACTCTCTTTGACAAATTTATAGCTTTGCCTGACACAAAGACACAACCTTCATCTCCAGGAAGGAGTTCATGCTGAAAGTGGGATTGAGCTGAGCTCTGGCCCAGATCCAGCACTCAGTGACTGCAGTGAGCATTCCATGTTTGGGGATAGCAGGACTGTGTTAGAGCTTCCAAAGACAGTGCCCTCAGTGTAATGGTCTGTTACAGCTGGTGCCGACCTCAAAAGTGCCCCCGTCCCTTTCTCTGCTGCTGCCTCAGCACTGTCTGTGCTGGGCCTGCTCAGAGTTCTTGTGCAGCTGTGCCAAGAAGAGCCCTTGGAGCTTGTAAGAAGGAGAACAGAAACTAACACCCTGCTTGGAGAGGATTTGAGGCAGAGCAGTCCCCCAGCCCTGCTCTTGCTGCATTTCCTCCTGTGCCAGCACGGGGAGCTCAGCAGCCGCCAGGGCAGACAAGGCCCAGGACATCAGGGACTGCAGCCCTGCTCAGTGCCCCGGCAGCAGGTCCTGGCCCCAGCAGGCAGCAGAAGTGCTGCCAGTCCCTGCTGACCCCGGGAGAAAAGGGAACCTGTCCTTCCTGCAGGAGCCCGGGCACCGCAGGAGAGCAGGGTAGAGGGACACCCCGGGAGCCTTCCCATGGGGGCCGGGGGGCAGGTGGGCCTGAGCCTCCTCCTGGGGTACATCCAAAGGTGGTGGGGGCTGCTCAGCAATGCCTACACACAGCCAATGCCTTGGAATCAATGTTTCCATGGGGAAAATGACACAGCATGGTGCAGCTGAGACGGGCACTTTGGCATTGTCCAGCAGGATGAGCCCTCCAAGCAAGAACCCCCAGAGAGATGGAGGCAGTCAGTAAGGGCTGGTCACATCTGCTGTTTATTTAACATATTCTTTTTTGGGGGTTCTGTTTCATTTTTCGAAGAAATAAGAACTGCCAGGCTGTGACACGTGCTACCTTCCTGGAAAAGGACTTCCCACACGTGAAACACATCGTGGTTGATGGAGCTCAGAATTTTCGTCGTGATGAAGGAGATTGGTACCAACGCGCCCGGTCAATAGTCAAAAGAAGTGGTGGCATTTTCTGGGTCTTTCTGGATTTCTTCCAGACCACTTACCCATATGACTGTGGTCTTGACTTTTCAAAAATGGATCCTCAGGAATGGCTGACCAAAATGGTCCGGAATGCCAAGGAAATATGCTGTTTCATGTTAAATCTAATGAGGAAAATCCACCGAACACGTAACATTGGTATGCCCTATGAAGTGCTGGAGGAGTTGTTGAAACAGGCTGAATGTGCCCATTCTTTGCCAGGTTCCTTTAGAGAACAAAATATAAGACCAGATGAATTGGCAAAGCATGTGGCCGAGCTCTGCAAGAGCTACCTCGATCAAGGCTATTCCCTCGGAGATATGGCCATCCTGTGCAGCACACAGCCTGCAGCCGAGCAGTTCAGACGAGAACTGCAACCTGAGCTAGAAAGACAACTAAGCAAGTCCAGGGTGAGGGGGACCTTGTGGTTAGCAGAGGATGTTTCCAAAGACGTCATTGTCCTTGACAGCATCCGACGCTTCTCAGGCCTGGAAAGGACGATTGTCTTTGTCATCGACCCTTACACTCCAATAGAGCACATATTTGACAATCTTGTGCTCTGTGCAGTGTCCAGAGCCAACACCAAAGTCCATTTGTTTAATTGGAAGGAAAGATATTTTTAAGAGGACAGTTTCTATGGCTCTAGACGCTGGAAAGTTTCACTCATTTAGTGTGATATCAGTGACATCAGAGAGCAGCCTGACAGAAACACAGCATCACAATCAGCAGCTGCAATGGGTCACCGAGATTTCCTCATTCTAACAGGACTCCTGAAGGGTTCAAGTCCAGCAGCTGCTGCAAGAGTGTGTTGTTGACAGCCCAGTTCTTACTGTCATGAGAAATGTGACATCAGCAGTGTGACTCCTAAAACTCTGATTGTCAAAACCTTGTTGAGAATCTACCACTTAACTAAGTCTTTTCTTTCTGTCTCAGCTGCCAACCATTGCCACAGCTTTGCCAATATCCGTCTGTAACATGGTGTCTATAATTGCTTACTTTGATATTAAATAAAGCTGGTTAAACAGTAACATGATAATGTTATATTTCTCCAGGGTAAAAAAGAAAAAAAAAAAGGTATTTGACTGAGACATTTGTACAAAATTTTCGGTTTTCAGCCTGTCTGTAATAAAAGGCTTTTTCTGACCCTGAGAGCTCCTGTATTTGTGGTGGGTAGTGTTCCACATGAGAAAATGGGAGGGCCTTGCAAGGGCCAGTGTTCCTGGACTAATAGACATTTCCAATTAATTGGAAAGGAGTTTCAGGTGCAGGGGAAATGTGGGGGACCCCTCTGTCACAGAGGCTGGGAGATGGAATATAGGGGACCCCCCTCAGGTGGAGGTCTGGGGAGTCTGAGATGCAGAAGCCGCCGGTGCCGAATGACCCCAAAGCCGGGCCGGCGGCTGGCCCAGGGTGGGAGCCCCCGGGAAGCGCTCCCGGCCCGGGGCTCCGCTCCCCCCAAACCCCGCTGCCCCCCAGCCCCGCTCTCCCCCCGCCGCCACTGCATGTCCCGCCGAGTCTGTGATCCAGCCTGGCGAAGCCGAAGGCGCGGCCGCGCGTGGAAGTGGAAAGTTATTTTAGCACTGAATAGAATATTTTTAAAATCATACTATCTGAAATACAGCTGCAGAGAACGCTGTAGGCGGAGTGTCAACGGGGAAGCGAAGGGGCGGGAGGGGGACAGGTGGGAAGTTCGTTCCTGTAAGGTTGCGTCAGGCGGGACCGCGTTGGGAATTCCTCGTCCGAAGCCGCCGCGAAGCCCCGAAAGCGCCGGGACTCACCGCCCCCGCGCCCACGGAGCCGGACCAGAGCCCCCGTCCCCCGGGAAGTCGAGACAGTGCCGTCCGATTAGCGCAGAGACCCCCAGTGGCAGCGTGTCTGTGGGAAGCACACATCACTCGAGCGCAGATATTGAGCCATGTCCAGAGAGAGAGTGGCATATGCTCTGGTGACGATAGTTCAGAACCGAGACTGCGACGTTTCATATCGACTAATCCCGAGCCCTCAGCGAAGTGGTACGTTCTCTGAGACTTCACTGACTTCACTACCAGATCGTAAGTGCGAGATCATACATCGATCGGAAGCAGAGCCTATTGTGCAGCCCAGAGTTGTGTGTGCGTTGACGATATCTACTCTGCGCACCCCCCCCGCTCACCATTTCCATACTCCTCACAGTAGATCCCCCCCCCCCCCTTTTTTTTTTTTTTTTTTTTTTTATCTTCATAGCCCCTTTTCTTCACCTGCTCTGTGTGAAGCCTCCAAGAATGTCTACAGATAGATTTTTTATTGAGAAGTATGTAGCGGGACCGACCCGGGGCGGCCCCTCCGCCACTCACGGGGACCGGGAGGAATCGGGCGCGGTGAGCGGGGATGCGCCTTCCTTGGGCGAGGCTTCAGAGCAGCGGCTGCAGCCCGGGCGACCAGAGAGCCCCAGCAACTCCTGCCTTAACCTGCCGCTCCCGCTGCCTTTGCACCAGCGCCCTCGCACCTGCCTGTGCCTTGCAAACAGTGACTTTCATTTCCCACTGTTTCCAATGTTTCCTTTTTTCCTGGGTTTTCTTGGTCCCGCTGCCGTGTGTCTGCTCTTCTTTGGCACTTCTTTGGGTGTGCAGACAAGAGCAGCAAAGCTGGGGAAGCATCTGGAGCACCAGTCTGGTGAGGAGCAGCTGAGGGAGGTGGGGGGGCTCAACTGGAGAAAAGGAGGCTCAAGGGGGACTTGCTTGCTCCCTGAAAGTCTCTGACAGGGAAGTGGAATAATGTGGGGGTCCAGCTCTTCTCCCAGAGAACAAGGGACAGAACCAGAGGAAACAGCCTCAAGTTGCACCAGGGAAGATTCTGGTTGGATATTAGAGAGAAAGGATTATCCAGCCCTGGCCCAGGCTGCCCAGGGCAGTGGTGGAGTCCCCATCCCTGGAGGGATTTAACAAACATGTAGATGTGGCACTTGGGGACATGGGTTAGTGGTGGCCTTGGCAGTGCTGGGGGAACAGTTCATGGTCTCAGAGGGCTTTCCCAACCCAAATGACTCTGTGATAATCATGAAGTGTTTTTGATAACGTATCCCTCCAGGATCAGGATGGCCAACCAGGACAAGCATCTGCTGATCAACTTGAACACGAACACGAACTATGCCAATGTGGTGGTAGATATTGGGAAAATACTTGTTGGAGAGAGTTACAGAAAGAAGATGAATGAGAATGAGAATGAGAATCAGAATCAGAATGAGAATCAGAATCAGAATCAGAATCAGAAAAAGAAAAGAAGGGACCTTTCCATAGCAGTGTGTGCATTGCTGAATTCAGGAGGAGGAATAGTGAGGATGGAGAGTGAGGACAGGAATTACTGCTTCCAGGAGCATGGCATTGGTCTGGACATTGAGAACAGCCTCCGGGATTGCATTGGCAGCAAGGAGATCGGCGAATACTTCACATGGATGCAGGAGGGGAATAACTTGCTGCTTTTTGTTAAAACATGGAGCTGTGGAGGCCTGGAACAAGGAAGTGCAGAAGCCACCAAGCCACGACTCTGCAGCCTGAGCACTGGTTTGTTTTATCGGTCCAGTACTTCCGTTTTCCCTGTCAAGTCAAGAGACACTCCTAAATTCCTGAGGGGGAAGAAAAGCTCTGCCAGGTGCGACAATGTGGGTGGGCTTAGTGCCAAGAGAGCTCTGCTGAGTTTTTTTGATGGAGCAAATGAGACTTCTCTGAACATCCAGGAGCCTGACTTCCAAGATGCTGCAGCCAGGTTTCTAAAGAGAGACAAAGTGCTGGTTGGGGAGGTCCTGGGTTTCACAGAGACAACTCATATTGAATTTAAGCAATACAGTACAGAGAATGTCTTGGAATACATGAGCAAAAACCTTCCTAAATATGTCTCTGCCTTTGCAAACACTGAGGGTGGATATTTATTTTTTGGTGTGGATGACAATGGTAAAGTCACCGGAACCCACAGTAATGTGGAGAAAGAAGCCTTAGAACAAGCAGTGGCCAAGACCATCAGCTCGATGTCTGTCCATCACTCCTGTGGCTCTGAGGCTCTGGGAGTGCAGTTCCAGACACACATCCTGGATGTTTATGACCAAGCAGGATGTTCACAGGGCTACATCTGCGCTGTGCACGTTGAACAGTCCTGCTGCCCTGTGTTCCATGGTGACCCCGAATCCTGGATGGTGATGGGTGGCAAGATTGAAAGACTGAGAGCTGGGAAATGGATGGAGCTCATGACAGCTTCAGACCCAGGTAAAATCTGCACCTATGTTAGAGCCAACTTCATTTCTGCCTTGGGCTGTAAACGTCCAGGAGGAACGTTTGTTCTGCTGGGAGTTCTCACAAACCCAGAAAAGGCCCTTTGGCCCAAGGCCCAGCCCCAGGCCCCGAGGTGACAGTGTGGTCACTGTCCTGCAGTTGCACCCCACTCTCTGAACTGGTTCAGCAGCACTTCTTGAAGCCCTCCCAATTGGCATAAACCTTCCTTCCTAGGGATCCCACACACCCCTAAACCAAGGGGGAAGATTCAAGATCACCCAGAAGCAGCTCTTTTTGTGGTGGTTAAGGGCTGTTTTGAAGGAGCAGGGCTGCAAGGCTTTGCTTGTTTTAAGGAACTTTGCCCAACTTCATTGTGAAATGTCTTCCCATGAAAGCTGGGGTCTCCAACTCATCCCACGGAGGGTCTAGATCTTGTCTTTGAACTATAAAGCCACCTTTTAGAGAGAGCCCTCTCTCTTCTACAGCAAATACAGATCACAGAATCCTGGAATGGGTTGGGTTGGAAGGGCCTGAAAGATCATCTCATACCAATCCCCTGCCATGGGCAGGGACACTTCCCCTAGATCAGGTTGCACCAAGCCTGGGCCAACCCAGCCTTGTTGACAATTCCAGGGGTGGGGGCAGGCTCCACCCTTTGCTGGGCAACGCACTGATTCCTGTCCATTGTTAACTTGTAGGCAGCAGCATTTTCTTGGGTAGGATTGCAAAGGGAGGATAGATTTAAATTACCCCTTTCGTTACTCTTAGATGCAAGTTGTTTAAAAGTTCACATGGAAGAATACTGATGGATATAACATACATTTCTTCCCCCTAGTTGTGTCAGCTTTGGCTGATGAATTTAAGACAGAGCTCAGCTTGGCAAACGGCCCTCCTCTGGTCAAGCCAGTTTATTCCAAAGCTGGTCTGCAGTGTGCAGCTGAACTCCAAGAACATCTCTACCCAGGTAGGGTATTTGTTCTGGATTTTTTTTTTAATTTAAGCTTTTATTTGACAGGGTGATTTTAAAAGGTGAAACGGCTCCAAATATTGATTTCCTTGATTTTTCAGATGCTTTGCTGTCTTCTCCTTTTTTTGCCACTAAGTACAATCTCTAATGCACACAGTTATGGAGAATACACCTGGACTCTGAGGGCTTTGTGCACTGTCTGACCACTGTTACACTCAAAATCTTCTTGGAGGAAAAAGAGAGACAGAACAATTTATTTTGGGCATAACTGAAATCTAGTTAATGATTCACTTTGATGACCTCATGGTGTAACATCTCCCCCTAGTAACTGCTGTCTGGAGAAAATGATTTGCTGTGTTTTGCTTTTTTAATTTTGATTACTTTTTTTTTCTAGTGGGTTCTAATGAAATCAAATGGAAGCCAGAAACCATCTGCACCGACCTGTTCTCAGAGTACCCTGGATTAGAGGATTTAATGAGAAAACAACTCCGTGGAGTTACCCAGGGGGTACTGATATTTTCAAGGAGTTGGGCTGTTGACATTGGCTTGCAGAAAAACCAGGATGTTGTGTGTGATGCTCTCCTAGTAGCTGACAGAGAGTATCCAGTGTTGTTTACTGTGGTCAGGGACGCCTCGTGTGTCACATCTGGAACCTGGAGAGAAACTGCTCGTGCCTTGAAGCAAAAACTAGTCAATGATGGGGGATATACTCCAAGAGTGTGTGTGATTCCCCAGATCCTGCTGCTGAATGGCACAGAGGACCAGACATCAGTTAAAGAGAATGACGTTCCCTGTCAAGAAACCCTGCATGATTCCACCAGCCCTTACCCAAAGAGTTACATCCTCACCTCCAGGGACATCCCTGCCTTCCTGCGGGCACTTGTGATTGTTGTGCTGGGCTTTAAGTCCTACTTAAGTGACTATTTTGGCTGTGAGATTTTCAGCCTTCTCACTCTCAAACAGTATGAGCTGCTCTCCAAGAACCTGCACAAAGTCAGGAAGCTGTTTGTCCTTGGTCTTCCTGGGACAGGAAAAACAGTCGTGGCTTTGAAGATCATTGAGAAAATAAAAAACACTTTTCACTGTTGTGCGGACGAGATACTTTATATTTGTGAAAATCAACTCTTGAGGGATTTTGTGAGGTCAGTAGTAATGTGTATTTCCTCTTTATATTATCTCATTCCATCTTCTGTGCCTACAGCACAAGCCCTGCTGAATTTACCTCTCTTTGACAAATTTATAGCTTTACCTGACACAAAGACACAACCTTCATCTCCAGGAAGGAGTTCATGCTGAAGGTGGGATTGAGCTGAGCTCTGGCCCAGATCCAGCACTCAGTGACTGCAGTGAGCATTCCATGTTTGGGGATAGCAGGACTGTGTTAGAGCTTCCAAAGACAGTGCCCTCAGTGTAATGGTCTGTTACAGCTGGTGCCGACCTCAAAAGTGCCCCCGTCCCTTTCTCTGCTGCTGCCTCAGCACTGTCTGTGCTGGGCCTGCTCAGAGCTCTTGTGCAGCTGTGCCAGGAAGAGCCCTTGGAGCTTGTAACAAGGAGAACAGAAACTAACACCCTGCTTGGAGAGGATTTGAGGCAGAGCAGTCCCCCAGCCCTGCTCTTGCTGCATTTCCTCCTGTGCCAGCACGGGGAGCTCAGCAGCCGCCAGGGCAGACAAGGCCCAGGACATCAGGGACTGCAGCCCTGCTCAGTGCCCCGGCAGCAGGTCCTGGCCCCAGCAGGCAGCAGAAGTGCTGCCAGTCCCTGCTGACCCCGGGAGAAAAGGGAACCTGTCCTTCCTGCAGGAGCCCGGGCACCGCAGGAGAGCAGGGCAGAGGGACACCCCGGGAGCCTTCCCATGGGGGCCGTGGGGGCAGGTGGGCCTGAGCCTCCTCCTGGGGTACATCCAAAGGTGGTGGGGGCTGCTCAGCAATGCCTACACACAGCCAATGCCTTGGAATCAATGTTTCCATGGGGAAAATGACACAGCATGGTGCAGCTGAGACGGGCACTTTGGCATTGTCCAGCAGGATGAGCCCTCCAAGCAAGAACCCCCAGAGAGATGGAGGCAGTCAGTAAGGGCTGGTCACATCTGCTGTTTATTTAACATATTCTTTTTTGGGGTTTGTTTCATTTTTTGTAGAAATAATGACTGCCAGGCTGTGACACGTGCTACCTTCCTGAAAAAGAACTTCCCACACGTGAAACACATTGTGGTTGATGAAGCTCAGAATTTTCGTCGTGATGAAGGAGATTGGTACCAACGCGCCCGGTCAATAGTCAAAAGAAGTGGTGGCATTTTCTGGGTCTTTCTGGATTTCTTCCAGACCACTTACCCATATGACTGTGGTCTTGACTTTTCAAAAATGGATCCTCAGGAATGGCTGACCAAAATGGTCCGGAATGCCAAGGAAATATGCTGTTTCATGTTAAATCTAATGAGGAAAATCCACCGAACACGTAACATTGGTATGCCCTATGAAGTACTGGAGGAGTTGTTGAAACAGGCTGAATGTGCCCATTCTTTGCCAGGTTCCTTTAGAGAACACAATATAAGACCAGATGAATTGGCAAAGCATGTGGCCGAGCTCTGCAAGAGCTACCTCGATCAAGGCTATTCCCTCGGAGATATGGCCATCCTGTGCAGCACACAGCCTGCAGCCGAGCAGTTCAGAGAGAAACTGCCATGTGAGCTAGCAAGACAACTAAGGAAGCGCAGGGTGAGGGGGGCTTTGGGGTTAGCAGAGGATGTTTCAAAAAATGTCATTGTCGTTGACAGCATCCGACGCTTCTCAGGCCTGGAAAGGACGATTGTCTTTGTCATCGACCCTTACACTGTGCAAGGGCAGATATTTGACAATCTCGTGCTCTGTGCAGTGTCCAGAGCCAACACCAAAGTCCATTTGTTTAATTGGAAGGAAAGATATTTTTAAGAGGACAGTTTCTATGGCTCTAGACGCTGGAAAGTTTCACTCATTTAGTGTGATATCAGTGACATCAGAGAGCAGCCTGGCAGAAACACAGCATCACAATCAGCAGCTGCAATGGGTCACCGAGATTTCCTCATTCTAACAGGACTCCTGAAAGGTTCAAGTCCAGCAGCTGCTGCAACAGAGTGTGTTGTTGACAGCCCAGTTCTTACTGTCATGAGAAATGTGACATCAGCAGTGTGACTCCTAAAACTCTGATTGTCAAAACCTACCACCTAATTACATCTTTTCTTCCTGTCTCGGTTTCCAACTGTTGCTGCAGCTTTGCCAATGTCTGTCAGTAACGTGGTGTCTATAATTGCCTACTCTGATATTAGATTTCTTACAGCTGGATAAATAGTGACATGATAATGTCATATTTGCCCAGGGTAAAAAAAAAAAAAAAAGGTTTTTGATGGAGGCTTTTGTACAATTTTCAGCTTTCTGCTTCTCTGTAATAAAAGTTTTTTTCTGACTTTGAGATCTCTCATATTTATGTGGCCAGCATTCCAGATCAGAAAATGGGAGGGCCTTGCAAGGGCCAGTGTTCCTGGACTAATAGGAATTTCCAAGGAATTGGAAAGAAATTTCCAGTGCAGCCAAAGGTCTGAGGAGAAGGAAGACCTAAACCCTGCCAAGTGTTATACCTGAGGCTGTCGGTGCCAGTTTCAGGTGACACGTGTCACGGCAGCCCTTCGGCGCACTCAGGTAAAGGTGCCCTCCTGCAGTGTTTAAACTTGTCTTAAGGACAACATTCCTGGAGTGGAGTAGCAGTGAGGGAGCAGCCGGGGACGCTGCATAGCTCGGAGGGGCCGCCCCGGGCTCCTCTGCTCGGCCTGCCCCGACACCGGCCTCGGAGGCGGGCGGGGAGGGAAGGTGGGGGACCCCGAGCGGGTGCTGACCGACCTTCCCGGGCTCCGGGCCGGCTCCGTGGGCTCGGGGATGGAAAGCCCTGGGGACAAAGTAAGTCTGGGCACAGTCCCATCTAGTGGCGACTTCCACTTCCCTGCTCTTCCCTCCCCGCCCCGCACACAGCGCACTCTGCAGCTGTATTTCAAATAGTTTAATTTTAAAAATATTCTATTCAGTGCTAAAATAACTTTCCACTTCCACGCGCGGCCGCGCCTTCGGCTTCGCCAGGCTGGATCACAGACTCGGCGGGACATGCAGTGGCGGCGGGGGGAGAGCGGGGCTGGGGGGCAGCGGGGTTTGGGGGGAGCAGAGCCCCGGGCCGGGAGCGCTTCCCGGGGGCTCCGGCACCTGCCGCGCGTCCTTCCCCGTGCCGGGGGCGGCGGGTACGAGGGGCAGGGACCCCCAGCACAGGGCAGCGGCTCCCCCTGCTCTGCCGGCTCCCGGGGGGCAGAGCCGAGGCCGGCCAGTACCTGCCCTCCGGGAGGGGAAAGCACTCCCCTCTCTCCCAACACCAATGGCTTAAACCAGCAGCTTATTGCACAGCGTCCCAGCGGGTCCCTGCCGGCCTCCCCCTGCCACCCCCCACCCCCAGCACCGCCTGCACCCACCACAGAGTGGAAATATCACCTGGAGCAGGCGGGAGGCGGCTCTCTCGTTCCCAGCGCCCAGGGAAGGGCAGGCAGGGCAGCCACGAGCAGGCAAACAGCATCTGCCAGACCCCGGGGACCACAGGAGAGCATGGAGAACCCCCCCCCCCACGCGTGCAGCCCACCCAGCGGAGCCCCGCAGCTCGAGGGCACGGAGCAGGGAGAGAGGGAGCCAATAAATAGAGGCAGATTTCGCAGGTACTGGCGGTGGCCCCATCCGTCGGGCAGGGCAGGGCAGGGCAGGGCGGGCTGGATGCGAGTGGTGGGAGCCCCGACGCTGGGGAAGGGGCAGGCTGGGGGGAAGCGCCGGTGCCGGGGGCCAGGCAGCTCTGCGAGGGGCTGGCGAGGGTGCCGGGCCGGGCAGGCTCAGCTCTCCGAGGCCGTGTGGCACACAGAGTTCTGGTCGGCACAAAATCTCTTCAGAGGCGGCGCACCGGAGTCCTCCTCCTCTTCAGTTACCTGCAAGAGTCAGAGGTCATGGGCAGTGACACTGAGCCACGCACAGCCAGACAAGGCTCTGTCACACCCTGGGGACACCCCAGGCTGTCACCTGTATGCAAACCCCAGGGCACCAGCAATGGGAATCCACTCCAGCCCTGGAGCCCGCCACAATTGTCGTTTTCCCAAACCCCAACATCCTTCTGTGATCCTTCCCATCCACACTTTAAAGCCTGATGTGAACCAGGGGACAGCTCAGGAAGCCAGAAGATTTGGGGAGTCCCTGGGGGGCACTTCGGGACTGCAGAGCAAGTCCATCATCCAGATGTTTCTGGTGCAGGGAGCAGCAACGAGGGTGAAAGAGGCCATGTACATTTAGAGGTGGTTTCGATGCCCTTCTCTTACCTGAGTCTCAAGGGGGACTGGCTCTTCCTTTGTGAGAGTGGGAGGCTCGTCTGCCACTTCTGAGGAAGGCAGGGAGGGCTCTGGGGAGAACAGAACGGTTCACAGCAATGCAGACCCAGCACCCAGCTCAGTGCTGGGCCAGGACAGGACCTTCAGCAGAAGACACAAATCCCCACTGCCCTGTCCACTTCCAGCAGTGCCTCAGCCACACACCGGACCACCAACAGCTCCAGTGTGGCCTTCCCCGGGCCCTGCCATTCCCCTGCTCCCTTCCCAGCCCAGCACCCACCTTCCAGGGTCTCCTGCCCCAGGGTGGGGGGCTGCGAGTCGTCCGTGCGGAAGTCGGACGTGTGGGCAGGACTCATGGACTCGCTCTGCTGGGGACTGGGGCTGGAGTTGGGGCTGCTGTCCACCTTGAGCTGGTACACGTCGGACAGGGAGCTCTGGTTGCTGTTCTCATCTGCAGAAACAGCACCTGGTGAAGGAGAGCACCTTGACCCGGGGGCATGGGCAGCCGAGTGCGGCACTGTGAGCCGGGGTCTCGCCGAGAAAGGCAGAGCACTGTCAGAGGAGTGGAATGGGGGATTCACTGTGCCCTGTCAGCACGAGGGCTGCTGGGCACAGGGCTGTGCACCAGGACACCAGGGGCATCACAGACACAACTGGCCAGGGGAGAGGGAACAAGTCTGAGCAGACAGACCCCAGGGTGTGCAAAAAAAGCAGGAGGCAAAGGGGCTGCACTGCCAAATCTCATGTCTGCAGCCCTTGAGGGCCCCAGGCCTCTGAGGGCAGGAACTTCCTGTTTGTGTTACCAGGGTTTTGTTTCTTCTCTGTTTGCGATGCAGAACCAGCAGCAATGCTCAGCACCTGCCTCCGAATGGGGAGGCAGGCCTGGCACACACCTTCCCAAACTGCACACCTGCAGTACAACATCACTGCATGTCGTGGAAAGGCCAGCACATTCCCTGGTTTTCCTTAGCCACACCAGGAGCCCAGAGAAGAGGCTGGGCACAGGACAGCAGCAACCCTAGCACTGCCAGAGCCTTGTCTGGCTGCACCACAGCACCTTGACCAAGAACCAGGCCAGGGACATCCTCTGTCCCTTCATCCCAAGGTCCAGGGAAGTCACTGCTGGAAGCAGCGGGCTTGGCTGCAGGCATGCCTCTCCCCAGCAGTGAGTGGAAAGGGGGAACAGGAACCCCCAGTCTTCCAGCTCCATGTGACGGTTCCCACAGGAAGATCCCAGAAACAGTTGATTAAGATTCCTTCTGACAGGAAACCCAAATAGTTTGGGCAGGGACAGTCCAGAAGTAGATCAGCACAACCCCACACTGGAGAAAGACACTGCTCTTCCCCATCCAGACAGCACATACAGAACTGGCAATGTTCAGCCTTGGAGTCTTTCCCCAGGTCAGAGGGGGCTCAGCCAGACGCACCTTGGAACTCCAGGAGGAGGGAGGAGTTGGCAGAGGTGTCAGCTGGGAAGCCATTGGGTTCTCGAGCAGTGCTGCTGCTTGATTTGGATTTCTCTTTCTTGAGGAGAGAAAGGAAAGCACAAACAGGAGGTCAGAGGAGCACAGGCTGCTCCAGAGGAGCCCTTCCCCTCTCTGTCTCCAGCAGCACAGAGGGATGTGCTCAAGCTGGCCTTTTCCCTTCCCTTTGGGGGCACTTCACTAAGTGAGAGGCAAAACTCTGGCTGTGGAAAGCTAGGAATTGGGAGAGAGAAAAGGAGGTGATGCCTGTCTAGAAGTGACATTGAGATAACCAAGTCCTCGGGTGGTTTGGGCAGAGAGGCTAAGGGGGAATGTGAAGGGGCTTGGGGGAGCTCAGGGGGCTCAGCAGGGCTGGGGGGACTCAGGTCGACTCATGGGGAGCTCAAGGGGGCTCCTTGGGGCTTGGGGGGCTCAGGAGGGTTCAGAGGGGTGCGGCAGGGGCCCAGTTTGGCTTGGGGGGCTCGGGGGTGGACTCGGGGTGGGCACAGGTGGGCTCCGGGGTCGGTGGGGCCGAGGGGGCTCGGAGGTCGACTGGGTGGCTCTGGGGGGCTTGGCAGGGGCTAGGGGGGATTCAGGAGAGTTCTGCAGGGCCTGGGGAGCGGCCAGAGGGCCTCGGTGGGCTCGGCAGTGGCTCGTTGCGGGGGATGCTCAGGAGGGCTCGGTGTTCGGCCCGGGGCGGGGTGCTAAGGGAGGCTCGTCCCGGCTTGGGGGCGGCTGCTCCCGGCTCGGCTCCACGCGCGGTACCCACCTCCTTGCTGTCGGCCACCGGCACCCACTTGAATATCCGCAGGGACGTGTCTCCCACCGTCACCCACTTCTTCTCCCTGCGGGACACGGCGCTGCCAGGGGCGGCCTGGGGCGCCATGGCAACAAGCCCCGCCCCCCCGGTGCGCCCCGATTGGCCTAGCGGAGCATCAATCCACCGCTCCGCCGCGCCGCGATTGGACGCGCCGCCCGCCCGTCACGGGCGCTCCCGCCCCCCTTCCCCACTCCCATTGGCCGCGGGCCCCGCGACCCGCGCCCGCTAGTTGGCCGCGCGCTCCCGCGTCCCGCCCCGCGGCGCGCTGATTGGCTGCGCGCGGGAGCGGCGGGGGCCCCTCCCATCCCGCGGGCCCGCCCCTCACCATCTGCGGACGCGCTCGATGGCCGCCATCACCTTCTTGATGTCATCCTTGGCGCGGCTGCGGGTCTCGGCCCGCACCGAGCGCCCCGACATGGCGCGCGCGCAGCCCCCGCAGCACCGGCCCCCGCCGCACCCGCCGCCGCCGCGCCCGGCCCCGCGCACGCGCCCTGCGCGGCCCGCCCGC